ATTCTCAATGTCCCACACGTCTGTATCAAGTACTACAGTTTGGCCTGGTGCTGTCACACTGCACTTTTCTACAGGTCCGGCAAAACAACAGTGAAGGGAGATTTAAATATGGAAAAATAGATTTATATATCGATATATATTTATACATCCTCCAGACGACACTGAACTGGTTTAATGAAACGTTAAAATGCGCAGGCGGCTGTATTTCTGCTTTACAACTGACCGTTTAAAGTGAGAGCTGAGTATAAATCTGCTCTTACTCGAGATGGAAAATATAAAATGACAAAAGCAGACAGCCCTCCCACCCAAACACATCTCTGACATTCTCCACTGACACTCTGGCACAGACGGTAACATCACAGACTCACACAGCGTGACGTCCCTGAGTCATTATTAATGTCATTATCCAGACCAACGCTTGTCAGGTTGACTCATGAGATCAGCCAATCCAATCTACTGTCGCACAGACGGTCTGAGCTGCCAACTTCTGACTGGTGAGGCTGCAGAAACCTTGCTTTTCCTACACGGTCTGATAGAAATGCAGAACTTTAATAGGCTTTTAAAACATACAGGGAGAGTTCTCGAGTGTAAGTGAAGAACAACAGTAGAAGTTGTCTTTATAAGTCTCATATTATCATAAACTTGACGTCGCCCAGTGTTTAAAACCTACTGAGAAAGAACGCGTTGTTCAATCAGTGATGTGGTTTCTTTAATAAACACCGATTATTAGGCAACAGCTTCCTTTGTTAAATTATTGATGAAAAACGTTGTAATTCCTGTATCCGCTGGAAAGAGTCGACCTCGCTGTGGCAAAGTTGAGCCTCGGTCTTCAGAAACAAAACAAACCACAAAGTAAAAATTCCTTTTTTTTCCCCCTAAATAATTAACAAGGTTATTTTCAGCTGCCTCAGACCAAATATGTCTCCAATGAGTCCGGACAGATTTTTATTGTGAACTCCGCACATACTGCGGTTAAATGACTCATAAGCTTTTCATTATTGAGAGGAAGTCGGACTTGAAACGTTGAGAGGGAAACAGCCTCATAACTCTGAGCGAACGGAGCAAACTCATTACAGAAACGTTTTCCGTGAGGTTTTCGAGAGTATGATTTCAGTTAGTGAGTCTGTGACTGAGTGATATTTACACAGAGACCACCCAGTGAGCTACCAAAGCAATCACTGTTTGTCCATATGAAATAACTCCTTAGTATCTAAAAGGCCATTATGAGGTTGTTGCCGTTTTGATGGGAACGTGTAACGAGCCACCGTCTTCTGGAAGAGTTTGTGGTGAAACTCTGCTGCGGAACATTGTAAGAAATTCATACTGAACACATTCCCCTTATGAAACCACATTTAAATTTACTAGATGAAGATTTTTATTTGGATCTGCACCAAACTACACACGCTCATAAATCTCAGTCCCAGAAACAGGGTCTCTCAAGTTACATTTAAGACTTTTTAAGACCAAATACAACAGATATGAGGGATCATCGAAGTCCATGAATTACTACAAACGCAGCAGAGACAGTAGGTGTCCATAGTTTTTCCTGAAGCCAAGCGACGATAAATTCTGAACAGAATATCAGTTTTCAGTTCCACGAAGACATTACGTGACATTTCTCTTTAAAAACATTAAAGCACAACGAAAGCAGTGTTAAATAAACACATTTAAAAACTAGTTTGTTGGGTTTTTTTAACACATTTTAAGGCCTAAAACTCAGATTATTAAATTTGATACTTTTTTAAAGACTTCTTAAGACCCTGGTAAACATGCCTGATTTCAGTTTTCATCAAGATCGATGACCCATATATCCCTCAATCACGTTCTCATGGGAATCCGTCAAATGGACAAACAAACAGATGCAGATGAAACCACAAATATGAAATATTTAAGCATCATGTTGACATTTGGAGTTTGCGTCGCAGTATCGTGTGAATAACATGTGTGACAGGAACATGTTACACTGTGTATCTGTGTTGTTCCTTCATCTCCAGACCATGACGAGTGTTTGTTTTCAGAGCGGGGGTCCCGGTGAAAAAACTGTAGAGGGGCTGGAAAAATGCCTTCGCTTTCTCTCTAAAGCCGCTGAAGGACTTTGTGTGTTTGTAAGTGGAGGATTGTGTGAGAGGGAGGAGGTCCGGTGCTGGTGCACGCTGTCCTCTAAACACCACTGGGTCACACTGAAGAGAGACACAACTACAGAGCTCTTACTGAGATGCTAAAACGTCTTTTCTTCATCTTTGATTCCTCCGAGGACGTCCTCTTTGGTTTCTTTGCAGCCGTCATGTCCTGATAGAGACCTAGTTTTTTCTTATAGTGTGTGATGTCGACTGTAAAACATGTAACAAGTGTGTCCTGCGTGACACACCGGACGTCCCGGAAGCGCTGTGGCAACGACAGAGATGCCATTTATCCTATCGTGAGTTTGTGTAACATCAGGATGTCTTTAAAAAAAAAACGTAATGTCTTGAGAAATGACGATTTGTCAGAGATTGTTCTAGCACCTCATCCCTCAGGAATCTAACCACGGACTTTATTTGCATTGTGTGTGTTTTGTGTATTTACAGTTTGTGTACTGTTGGTGAGGTTGGAACTGCAGTCTCACCTCAGACAGTTTGTAGGGAACGATCAGCTTCTCTCCCACAGTGACCGTCTTCCGTGTCGTCAGAGCCTCAAACAGCATCTCTTCTTTGACCTGGCGATGACAGCGACAGCACAGAGGTTAAAGGAAACATGATATTTTCTATTCGAGCGGCTTTTCGTCTCTGGTGACGTCTGAGTATCTGGAAGCTAAGCTACGGGTTAAAGGAAGGATTTAAAAATTCTATCAATGCGGAGTAATAAGGAGAGTTAATATGTCATTAGATGTTCACTAAATGAGCTAATAATTATCTAATGCTTAAACAACTGAACAAGGATAATACATCAGGGCCCCGTGTGTATTTATTAACTACGACTGGCTCCAGTGCCAATTTACTGTTGACCAAACTTTGCTCAGTCACTTTGAAACGAGTGTGTGTCGAGTGTGTGATCGATACAAAAGTGGTCCGGTGAAGAACACACTCTGTTTTCAGACAAGGATGAAGTGAGTTCATTGTATCTGTAAGTAGCTTAAGATTCCTCTCGTACAAATCAGTCTTGTTTTTTTGTCAATAGAGAAACACAAGGAATACAGTCAGAGCAGGCTGTGCAGCTCTGTTCGGCTCTGACACGTTTATCTGAAGACACATTTAGAGAATGTGCAGCAATAAAAACCGCCCCCCCCCCCCCCAGTAGGTTTGTTTGTCAGTACCTCCAGCAGCTCTGAGACGACAGGCAGCACCTCTGGGTTACAGATGTCGATGGAGTCGTCTCTGTAGGTTTTCCTCTTGTAGCAGATGTTGCCCAGGTGAAGGATGGCCGACAGCAGAGAGAAGATCCTGCACAACACACGGGAAAAAGATTGTGAGACTGTGGAACTATCTGTAACGATCAGTTATCATAATAATAATAATAATAATAATCTTATTAGCATTTTTATCAACAAAGTCACAAAGTGCTTTACAAAAAGATTAAAAAAACACGAAAATAAACTAAAAAATAAAATAACATTCACATAAAAACCTCTTTTTTTAAAAATAGAATGTTCTATAAAGAGATTTATCTGAGACATATTCAGATTTTTTAGTTTTTTCTTTCCTCTTGTGTGCGATGTGGGTTTTATGTGTAACCGTATCTTATCGCGGTTGCATCACTCACTGTTTACGCGTGGCAGGAAGGAAGCCCACCATCTCCATGGCCAGCTGAAGCCTCTCAAAGTCATGCTTCAGGTCCTCTCCTTCAACAGTGAAGCAGTCCTGGAGAGAAAAAGCAGAAACCGAACATCAGGCTCACAGTCGCCGTTAATACACGGCGGCCGGGGAAGCCAGAAGAGCCAATGACAAGTCGTTCTGAAGTTTACAGGGATTGAATGAGTGTTGTTGACATGCACGGTGCCCAGATGTTTACAGTGTGTCCAGCAAAGATACTTCAAATAGTTCCTGAGTTTATTCTGCTGCAACAAAAAAACAGCGGAACGGCCTGAAGCAGAAGAATTGAATGACTCACAGTGAAGAAACGGAGGCACGGGGGGTCAAACTAAACAACAACACTGCGGTCTGATGAGGATCTAGTCTAGCGAACAGCAGCGTGTGCTCATGTGGTGGAAAATCTGGCCTGTTAAAGCAATCCACAGAAATCTGGCGAGCCGGCGAAAGAGCTGAGAAGTGAAGCGATTCACGGGTTTGTGTGTGTTTACAACTTTATCTTTATGTTTATATAATAATAACAATAATGATAATATATCATATGTGAGGTATTAACACGTTAACGCTGTTATGATATAGGTAGCAGAGTAAAAAATACAATATTTACCTCTGGAGTGATAAAAGCTTAAAGAGGCGTTTTAATATAGCTTGAAACACATTTAGCAACATAATGCACATGAGGAGAAACGTGTGGATCTGTATTAGTTGTTAATGACGACAGGAAGAGCTTTGGAACAAGTGCGTTGATGTAACTGCATGAACTACGTCCAGTCAGCGTAATGTGAGCTCGGCTGTTTGCTTATGGCCTCATTCCACTATGGCTGCCATAATTATCACATACCGAGTCCTCAGGAAGACAAACACGAGACGCACACTCACACCAACGTGCCTCCCTCCCGACGGGAACTCACCGTGAACTATTAGTGGCTCTGGTGTTACATTTCTATAGCCAGGGGAAAATATTCACATCGCTCGGCCTGATTTAAATTTCTGTCCAACGAAAACAATATTTTACTGTCGTAGAATGTTGGCTGATGATTCCAGATGTCACACGTTTGTTTTAGGAAATGAAACATAACATTATTAAATCATTACAGGCCTTAATATACTAATATGAATGTCCTGTGCTGACATGAAAAATGTAGTTGTCTTCCTCTCCATAGATATGATATTATCTGTCAGAGTTTATATAATCTACATCGTGCATCCCAGAGGATTATTAGTATGTCGTCAAATAATAATTAATTAAGAATCAAAGTGAACTGCTACATGCATAAAGTAGAGAAAACTAAAAACTTTCAAATACAAATCAAAAAACATTTTCTCGACCATTGACATGATTTCATTTCAGTTTTTCTCCTGCAGAGCGACGTTTTCACGACAGACTTCATCAACATGTCATAGTAGGAAAAAAAGCACAAGCTCGTCTGTGATGATATCATCGGTAACTCTGTTCTGTTCAAGCGTCCCATGACAGTGTGATGAGGAGCCAGCATGAACGATTCCAGCACCATGAAACCAAAGCAGCTAAATGGAATTCAGCCGTCATTCATTTTATTATTTACACAATTGCTTTTCCTCATACGACCTGTCAGAATGTCAGATGTTTAAAAACTCCGCTGTAATGGAGTTTGACAAAGACATGTCAACTTCTGTGGGGTGGAAGTTTCATCATCACGACGGGTTCATGAACTTTTAACTCGGATAATGTAAGTTCACACGTCAACAGAATATATAAAATCAATCTAGTCGTTTTTAATAAATTATATTTTGTATTATTGTTATTATAATCAGAGAGAACCCAAGTATGACACCTCACATCTTGCTCCATGTGGTTACACCCAAATTTAATGGGCAACTGAACAAATTCTGACTTTGATTGTTATGATTTTTAGAATGTTTAAGAAGAGGACCTTGCTTTCAGGCAGGATGGCCAATTTTGCCTTTTAGTTGTAGAAAACACTGCGTCAGTGATTAAAAAAGTCAAACAGGAACACTAAAGCAAAAAAAAGAAAAAAAGAAACAGAGATAAAAATAAACACCACCCAAACCGAACCAGGAAACATCCAAAGAGCGACAACATAAGCAAAGGAGGGACGGGGGCAGGGAAGGAGGGAGCAACTGTGCAGGGAGACCGTTCAGCTGAGTGAAGCTCTACTTGTTGCGGTTTCTCCATCAACGGACAGACACACGGACACAACAGGCAGAAGCACAGATACTGACCGGTTCACTCTCACAGTAACTGTCCCAGTGAGGCTGCTGGCTTGTCTTTGTCATCTGGGAATGCTGAGGCAGAGTTAACAGGGAGGGGGGGGGGGGTTAATGGTTAGACAGCAGCATTCGAGCGACAACACATACTTGTACACTTAAACATGTACGACGAGATTCATGAGCAAGTAGCGATGACTGAAGGAAGCGTTATTAAGACGAAGCCATGTCCGGATTTTAACAGCTCTGCTTATGACACACGGACACAAAGACACGTACAGACAGACAGACGTCAAACATTGAGGAGCACGTATGACACTGATGATGCACACACCAGGAATTCACAGACATGTTATTGAACACAGGAAGCTGTTGGAGCAGGATTAGAAAGTTGAATGAACTGCAACACACATGCACATTATGAATTCAGAGTTGATTTTGCATCACAAGTGGTAGTTTCTAAAAGCACGCATTGGTTGTTATAGTTTATTTCAAGCATTCCACAAACTTCACATTTGAGCCTTTGCAGATATGTTGGAACTGCAGCCTCCATTTAATCTTTGAGTGACTATTCGGTTCTGTTTTTTAAAATGCTTCTCCATGTCTGTTCGGAAAAACAAAACCGACTGACATTTGCTTTTGCACTAATTCAAATTTTAATGAAAAGTCTCCTTCAGCCATTATATAACTAGTGTATATACTAACGTGGGGAAAAAATTTGAATTAAGGACATTCAGTTCCTGGACTGCAGTGAAAAAAGAAAAATTGTTGGACCAACTTAAAAAATACTTGTTAACACGCAAATCAATTGAGTTTGTTATAAAAGTTACATTAAACACAATCGCAAACTTTAGTTTGAATTAATTTGTGTGTTGTCAATTGAGGTAATTTTTTTAAATCGTCCCAACAATTTCCTGTTTTCAGTGAGGACAAAAACAAAACATCTGCCAACAAAACACGAAATCAACCAAACAACTTAAGGCTTGCTTTGAACAATGGTCAGTTAAAAGAGTCAAAGCCACACGAGTGGTTCTCGAAGCAAAGAGCAGAATGAGCTTTAATGAGTGATTCAGGAGGGTGTGAAAAAAACCAGCCATAACGACAAAGTGTTAGAGTGACAAGTAAACCAGTCATGGAGGGGAGAGGTTGTGAAATCCATTCCAAAGAGCTGTACATGATGCAAGAGAGTAATCTTTACGTGAACTCCACAGAGCAGGCGGAGAGTGAACGAGCAAGAGAGCGGCACAAGAATGTGTGTATTTATGGATGCATGTGTATTTGTACATGCACGTCGGCGGCCTTGAGGAATGGGAGGAATTCCTTCCTTTATGCAGGCGTATGGATTTTGGAGGAGGGAAGCAGCTCTGTCGTGGCGGGACAGTCGGGGCTCTGGCGCGGAGGTGCAACAAGTTCTCAACAAAACCTGCATTCTATAATCATAACATATGTGTGTGTCTGTGTGTTTACAGTGAAACCACACGACACAGCGAGGGACAAACACCATGTCGCCTGTCTTCGTGTTTGTGTGTTTGTCAGCGGTGGCGTGGGGCTGAGGATGTGCATGTGACACCAAGATGAAACCAAAGTGTATGAGAAGATCACACACATGCAGCTACACCCACAAAACACAAACAGATGCACAATTCAAAACAATCTTGGTCGTGACCATAAAAAGAGAGTGAGAGTGAGAGGGACAGTTGTGTTGAAAACCACCACCAGTGGAATGTGTTTCCTTTGTGCCGTCATTTCTGTCTTTCCTGTTTGCAGACACTGACACACAGAGGTAACCGTGGCTTCCTCGGGTATAAGGACGTGCGGATGACACACAAACATTCACAACGCTACAAGTGAATAAAGACTTATGGAAAACACAACAAATAAAAACACAAAATCACTGTCAGATAAAATGACACACATTTAGTTATTTCATCATTTCTAATAAAACATGTTGTTGTGCCTGAAGCTGCGGCTCCCACCTGACTGAGGTAATGATATTCTTCAGGCTTCTTGAGGTGAAAGGTTGCCCTCTCTTCTTCATTTGTTCCTGCCAGCAGGTAGTAAAACACATGGTAGTTTCTAGAAAAAGCAAAAATGCAATAATGGTTATGGTTATTATGTTTCTGTATGAGAATACGATTTGAATGTAGGGCAGACATATTTGCTTTTGCTTATTTGGTTGAATAGCAAAAGGTAAACTCCAGTGTGTTAGATGTTTGTATATGTTGGGTTGGGGGTGAGTTGCTGCCCCAGGTGATGGGCTTTAAGTATCTCTGGGTCAGCTGTAATGATGGCGTTGCACCGCTGCTCATTCACATAGAAAGGGAGCAGCTGAGGTGCTTTGGGCGTCTGACGTTAAAACCTCGAGGAGAGGAGGGACCACATATCACTTCTGGACCTAAAATCCCTCAGCATCCACCAGGAAGACTGTCGCTGAGAGGCATCTGAAATACTTGACCAGCTATGAATGAATGAATGGACAGACAGACGGAAGGATGGTTGGTATTATTTTTGAATTTCCTGCAACGCAATCACTCTCAGAGTTTCTATTTTTATTTCTGTTCTTCTATGTTATATAGTATCATTAAAAATTATTTATCTATTTTTAGTGTTGGCTGAACTTGTCTTATCTAACAACTGACGAAACCAGTATTGAATTCTCTGGAGCCACAACGCTACACAGGCTAAAGCAAAAACTAGAAAAAGAGAGTAATGACAGCTCGGTTTGTTTGTGTGTGTGTACAAGTGTGTGTGCATGTGTGCTCGCCCTTTTTCCTCTGACAGCGTAAAGGTTAGAGGTCAACTAGTGCAGCAGCTGTGCGACCGATGGTTCTCTTCGAACACACACACGCGCACACGCACACGCACAAGCTTGGAGTCAGCAATTCATCTCAATAAGAGTTGGCTAACGCAGGGGGCCCTCTGTGGGCCCCCCATGGTGAGGTTAACCTTCACCACTTCATCCAGCCAGTCCAACACATCAGTCCCACTTAGAGGTCAATTCACTTCATGACTCACATCCTGGCAAACTTAAACAACAGGCTTTCTCACTTGAATTTACTCAGATGCACATTTTTAGCCAAAAACCAAACCAATGATTTATTTCACGCTTGTGTTTTTCTAAGTGAGAGGAAAAAGTTTTAAGCTAAGTGCAGGTTGAACGTCATGTAGGACTGTTTAAACATTGCGCTAGAACAGCCAAGAACCTGGTTTGTTGACATATCGACCATATTTGGGACGTCAAAACATCATCCGTCATTAAAGCCAGTGTTGATGTAATATATTACAAGTTTAATTTTATTCAAATCTGTTTAAATAAGCAGTATAATTTCACGCAAGTAGCACATGAATCATGTTTGATTAATGCACGTAAAAAGGCTGTAAAGTTGCATATAAAGTTGGAGGCCAGCTTGTGACAGTTTCTCATTTATTTTCTTTCTCTTTAGTTTTGAGCTACACTTCATAAGATCACGTTACAGTCTATTACTCACTTATCATTAAGTGTCACCTCCTGCTCAAACAAAACCACCTACTTCTGTTTTACTTTTATAATATTATGATAAACTCACCGCTCATTGTGTTCCTGATAGACCAGCCTCGACTTCTCCAGGAGGTATTTCTCCACATACGCTCTGAACACAGTACAAAACAAAGTGTTAAATTATGTTATATTATATTATATTATGATATTTATTTGAAAGGGGAAATGAAAGGCATTTGTCTGTGGTTCCTTACCCTCTCACAGTGCCACTCTCCTGGTAGTTCACCTGGATGAACTTGCCGAAGCGACTCGAGTTGTTATTGTGGGCCGTCTTTGCGTTCCCAAATGCCTGAAGGACGAGAGAGGAAGACGTGGTGAGAAACAAACACACACAGGTGGAAATGAATGAGAAGAGGCTACATATTAAACACATCTTACACACACATGACTAACGCATGTTAGAGGTCATGTTCAGAGCCGTCGTTGGGTGTGGATAATTTGTTTGTGGGTCAAGCTCAGAGACTCGGGCCAAACTTGAAAGGCTGTCGGCCTGGACGGCGTGGAGCAATCTTTTCCTCTTACATAGTTTCAAACGGCATCGGTCCGAGACAGATTAATAACATGGTTTTAGGATCTATTTAAGTCAGAGTCAGACAAATTGCCAGAGTGAGGATGAAGGAGCCAGGCCCAGCAGGCCTGATGGAAAAAAGTTCCTCAGTGAGTAATGGGATCCATGTGGCCTTGTGGAACATGTGTAGTGGTTGTGCTTTAATAAGACGGTCCAGTATTTCCCCTGGCAGCTCTGTTTATGTTGTATGGCTGCCTGGAGGGGAAGTCGTTTTTTCGGCCTATATAAACCCTGCAGTTATTTGTAGCTCCGCCACAAGTAAACAAATTCCTCAGCGAATCACTCAGAGCCTCGCGTCTGTGGAATGGGAAAGCACCCCTCTTTGACCCCACCCTTCACCAACGCCACTTACCAACATGCAAGCAATGCTAAGAGAAGGCTAACATCGAGCTAATCGGCAACACTGGGGGCGGATCCCAGTGCAGGAGTCAAGGGGGTCAATTATCACTGAATTTCAATTGAATTTCAAAAACATGTTGTTTTGTTTCAGGGTCGGCCGTGATTGGCTCGCAGGATAATACAACACAGAAGAAAACAATTAAGAGAAGATATTCCAGCCCCAAACAAATCAAAGCCTTGCAAGGCTAAGTCTTTTTCTAACTATCATTTCTTTTGAAATGGATGAGTGACACAAGGTCTGCAATGAATTTCAGTCAGAAATATGCACATGACACATGGAGATACACGTGGAAGCATTTGGTTGTTAGTTGTTGGAAATAATAGCTCATCTCCGACACATGTGCACAGCTGTTAGCATGAGAACAGGGTCAGGGGACAGGGTCTGTGTTGTGCACTGGTAGCTGAGGCTACTGGAAAAGGGTTAACGTGCTGGGAGCCGGACAAATCATCAAACACGTAGTCTTGACCAGAAAGAACCAATAACCAAGTGGTTGTGAGTGTCTGGGTTATCGTTTCCAAAAATGCAGCCCTGCAGTTTTCAAACTAAAATGATTACCACGCTCTGGAGTAGTATGGACGCCAGGCGTATCCATAGCAGATTGAATGCATTGACCAACAGAAATGTGGTGGTGTGGATGCAGCCTGTTTTTACCTACAGTCGCTTTAAGGCCCTCCTCCTGATACAGCTCGGATTGGCTAGTTGACCCACTGCTGTGATTGGTCAACAGCCTTCAGCACATGTAGGAAATGTTGTCCTTTGATTCCTCTTTACGGGGCTTTGTTAGCGAGTAACCCAGACGAGCCGCGAGGTGTGTGCATTATGCAAATGTATCACAATGCTGCAGAAGTAGTGGCTGGGATACTGACGGGGCTTTTCAGGGGATTCAGGAGTTTCAGTGTTTTCAGGGGGAGTGGAGCTTCCTTTACCATGGACACAAAAACCATACGACACACTAGAGGGGAAAAATAACTCGGAAAAGCAATATATGTCTCCTTTCAAGTACAAGTGTGTTTATAATGTAGCTCTAAGAGGAAATCCAGATAAATACTATGTAAAAAAACAAATTCAAGTGAACTTAAACTCTGTGAATCAGCGATCATCACACCGTTAAAATGGTTATGGAATCAGGACTCAGGAGAGTCTGCTAGACTTTGGCCTCTGCACTGCTGGCAGACGCTGCTTCAAACAACTGGATCACAGCAACGAGCTCACCCTTCATTTGTGACTCACTCAGCTGAAGAAATCATTAAAATAGGCAGACGCAGTGGAAAAAAGCTGTTCAACTCTGCCGGCTGGACAAAGGAAGACAACGCAAGGTCAAACTGAGGAACAGCAGTGGTGTCGTCTAACCCTAACCCAGAAATGTCCTTTTAAAAATGTGATGCCTGATGCCGTCGTTATTCCCAGACGAGCTGGTGTTCTATTGCCACTCCGTCTGCCTCTGAACCTCCCTGATTCAGGAACGACAGGTCAGACGAGGACGGAGTAACATCACTCAGTGTCCATAAGTGGTAAGAACTGCCCGAAATGGACAGCCAGTAAAAAGCAAGCACTCAAGCACTAATAACAACAACCTGCTCGCAGACAGGGTGACGAACTCAGGGCAGAGATCAGAGCTCTCAGTGTTTCTTTGTTAAACGGCTTGGCGTCCAGCATGATGTGATGGGCCAGCAGGAAGCAGGATGTGGAACAACTAAAATGCTGAGAGATGATTTATGTTCAAGCAGCGTGTATTTGTCCACCTGGTCTGTGTAAAAAAAACGATGCACGGTTAAAGAAGACATTTTTACAGCCGACAGTTTTTATTCTTTTAAAACTTGGCCAGCTCCATATCAACGGCAGTAAAACACATCTCATAACTGAAGGGGTGTTTCGTCATAAACTGACCTCTAGAGGGGATAATGTTTCAGACCAACATGCAAGACAAGTTTTATAAAAACCTATAAAAGCATGAAAAAATACATTTAAAGTCATGAGACAGTGTCCTGCATTTAAATTTCTAAGCTAAAGTAAAAAACTGCCAGAAACATCAATCACGCTCGACTCACATCATCGTAAGTGTTGCTTGAGAACAAAAGAAATCTATAGTAGCGTGTCAGCAAACAAAAACATCCAACGATCAGTAACAGATCATTTACAGATGGACATTTTTCTTCACCCAAAATAACCACAAATAGACCTGAATGCAGATCAGCCACAGGACAAGTTGTGCTTTCAGTTACAAAAATGATTTTTACTGCACTCATCCACAAAAATGCAAATCAGTTCTTGCCTCTTCTCCTGTGGGAGTTGTCAAAAGTTATTCTGGAACATCGAACGCAAGCCGAGCTCTCGTAGACAGGGCAGGCTGAGGTAAAGGGGGAAAACTAAAACACTAAATCACGTCATTTTTTTACGATATCATGAAGAGTACGATTTCAAACACACAACTGTGGAAAAGTACTTGAGGGTGGACTTTTAGCCCTTTGGATGGACACAAAGACTCAAACAGACACCGCAGCTGTTTGTACAGACGTGATTCGCACCACTTCAGTCGCTCTAGTAGGTCAACAGTGTTATTCTTGGCCACAAACCACAGACTCAGCTAAAGGGGGAGCAGCGATGGAGTTGAGACGGTGCCAGCGTGTTCTGAGTGTAATGTGTCTGACGACAGGCTCGGTCAAAGTCATTCTGAGGAGCGGAGACTGAGCGGAGACTGAGCGGAGGCTACAGCGCTCAGGTTGGGTTTTCATCAGTGAACTAATCTGTCTCTCCTCACGTCCACATCTGGAGAAACTGCTCAGATGTGTTGAGAACTGTGGTCACGGTGCGGAACGTTCATATTGAGGGAAGAGTGATAACTTCTATTCGGGCAGAGGTAGATCCTAATCATGACTCAGCACAAACTCTCTGTAAGGCAGAGGCCCTTTTAGTTTTATATCAGATTTAAGCTTCACCGACACCCGTCATGGTCCCAGAGGATCATTTATTATTATAGAGAAGTAAACATACTGCTCCAGAACCTTTTTCCCTTCACACAGAGATCCTGGAAATGTCAGTGTTTAGTTTTGGTCGGTTTCTCTCAGTTCTGCCGTCTTTGTTAAATCTGGATTTGAACCACTTGGGGAAGAAAAAGTTTCAACTAGATTCACAGTTTATGGTGATGAAACACATTCAGGTGCGTTCTGCTAGTTTTTAAGTATCCTGATCCGAAGTATTTACAGTACAGCAATTCACTGGGCTGTGGTAAAATATGCAGAGCTCGGAGTAACTAATCAGCTCGAGCTGTTTTGAGTCATGAACTCCAGAAAATGTCTGGAAAAGTGGGTCTGGACATTTTCCAGAGTTTGCCTTTCGCATTTGAGGAACAACAACACGTTCTCAACAACAGGAAAAAGTCCGAACAGTCAGGCAGGAGCTGGCACCTGGGTCGGGCAGCGGGAGGCAGGACATGACGTCTAAGTTCCACTGTGGAAATCACACATTTTGTTTACACACACACATCGAAACCAGCGTTTTTTCTTTCCACAACTTTGTCAGCATCTTCTGTGTGTATCTGGCTCCTCTTTCACCCGGTTGTATTAATAGTATTCGTTTCAGTTTTGTCTCTGTCGTGTGGGAAACGTCATCAACAACACGCCCACGCTCACTGTAAACTCAGGAGATTTAACAGATCAGTGAACAAAGCATGCAGCTGGGAGCTTCTTGCTTTTATCTGGTGACCTTTGCTTTCATCAGCTTAAATTATTACAGTTAAATTACCATGGCAGGGCAGAATGGAGGTCGTCCGTCACAGAATGTTTTGTTCAGGGCACCAGTGTATTTAAGGTGCTCTTGGATGAGATGCATGTAGACATAGAAACATCCAGGAACACTCTCAGCCTTTTGAACAATAACTTTAACATCATGACATGTTCATTTTAAACCCACACTTGAACAACACTGTCATGAGGTTTGTGTATTCGCTCAGTTTTTATTTGTCTCATATCAATATCAGTCAAGTTTAGCAAAACATTTAGTTTTTTTATTGACAGTATGTGATGTTCACAACCATCTAAAGATAATCATACCCTCACATATAGTTCCTTATTTGTTCTTTTCTTGGAAATCAATAAAACTTCCAGTGCCACCTCACAGACTCGCTCAGTTCAGATTCTGTTAATGCTTCTCTCTGTGGCGATTTAACTCGGCCTGTTTGCTGCTGTACGCTCTGACTCATGCAATGAAGAGCGGACACACATTTAATCATGTGAGGATGACTTCATTAGCTCAGAGGAGAGGAAGAGAAAAGGGATGCAGGGAGGGGAGGGGAGGAAGAAGTAGAGGAGTGGAGAGGAAGAGG